GGACATCCTAAATGCCTTCGGAAATATTGATTTCTTTGGACATATAATTGTCTTCGGAATGTCTTTGGATATATGGTTGCCTTCATATTGTCTTCGGATATCCCAATTACCTTCTGATTGTCTTCGAACACCCCAGTTGCCTTCGGATTTGTCTACGTGCAAATGACATTGCTCCACGAGTCTCGGGGATGCCCGAATCATGTGGTGCCAGGATTTGCGTCTCGAGCTGACTTCGTGTCTCCTAATTTTGCTAGGATTTGGGTTTCAGGTTGACCACTTGTCCTTGAGTTTTGCCAGGATTTGCGTCTCGGGCTGACTTCGTGCCCTTTGATTATGTTAGGATTTGCTTTTCGGGCTGACTTTGTGTCTCTTGATTCTGCTAGGATATGCCTTTTAGGATGACTTCGTGTCTCTCGATTCTGCTAGGATGTACCGCACATGTGAAGTGGACTGTTCCATATGTGTAGAACTTGGAATTGACGGATTATGTTTGGGGTACACCTATATGGAGAACAGTGCAGTACTGATATGTTTATACAGTTAGTAGGATATCCTTCACCACCCTGGTCATATTATCTGCACAGGGTTGGCCATGATCCCCAACCACCTACTCGACTTGTCTTCACAGGTGGTTGGCTAGTTTCCCCTTTCCCCGGTTACCTTCGAATTTAATGATATTTTTCATGTACCCCCTAATGGGTGATTGCAGGACATATGCACTATACGGACGGTTGCAGGTACTACATTCAGGTAAAAGGTGTGGGTACCTATGTGTTTTAGTGTACAATGTTAAACTAGTTGAACAGTTAGATACATAATTACATGGGATGACACTCAATTATATAACTTGTTGAAATCAAAATAAAGAATGACTTTAGAATTTTATTGTTGGTTTCACTTTGAATATTTTTGTATTATCTTAATTGTGATTTATAGTAGAAAGAATTATGTGTGGCTTAATCCCTAAGTAAGGATATGTAGGCAACCTAGTCTAACCTAGGTGCAACCACAAGTTTATGATTTGTTTATTATGTTCAGTTTTGTCAAGTTGATTTTGTTGACTTTCTTATGTTGGTAAAGGGGGGCCTAAAGTCCATTGAACTCAGATTGTATAACCATCACATCTTAATCTGAAGAAAGTTTTGATGGGTGTGGTAAGAGAAAGTGCAAGGGTTTAAAGGGGGAAACTGTGAGATGAAAGTTAACATAGTTGTTGTAATTCGGGGAATTGGCAAGGGCTAGTTTTCATAGGGAAAAAGGATAGATTGTGAGTTGGGAAGAGAAGTGTTTACACAAGTTTTAGGAAAAAGGGAGATGCAGAGATTGAAACAAGAGAGAAGAGACTGACGGCTACAACAATGCTTTGAGGTTAGATCGATTAGGCAATTTTTTTTGTTCTTCCTTAATTAAAGTAAAACTTATATGCAACATGTTTCATACATCTTTCTCTCAAGCAGGAGAAAAACTTTCATAAAACAAGAATAACACTATTTTTCTATCCCCGGTCAATAATGCTATGACATGCATGATAACTCTTTCACATGACATAGCATTATAAACCGGGATAGCAAAACATGATATTCTTGCAGCAATTGAGTTGTTCTCCTCAAGCAAAACCTAAGAGAAGCAAACTTTACTACAAATATAGGCCATCATGACTTCACCTCACGTTTGGGTACATGGTCTACCTCGAGAAGCCCTCTAGGGTTTGACCTATGTCTGACATTACTGGTGGGCCTGTGCTCGTGGTTTTGACCTGTAGTGCCTTACCCCAAAAAGAAAATATAAATTTTCTCTTTAGGCTTACCCTAAAATAAAACTATGAAATGCCATGCAAGGATTGAAATATCGGCCGATACATCGATATATCGACCGATATGTCAGTATTTTCAACTGTCGACACCGATATTGGGGGGTAAGGCCATATCTTCCCCTATATCAACGATATGTCCCCGATAAGTGTGATATCCCCGATATTTCCCGATATTTTGTCGATATCCCCGATATTTCCCGATATTTTGTCGATATCCCCGATATTTCCCGATACCCATAACAGATACCAAAAAAAATTCAGAAGTTTGGAAGGCAATTGAAACCCAAAAATAGCTAATCATTGCCCCAAAACCTATAAATTATTAATATGAAGAATCTATGCACAGTCCACTGCCCACATACCTCCAATCCATCTGAAGAGGACATGGCAATCAGTTTTGGATCTATGAGTATAGGAACTAGACCTAGTACTAACTCAAATGAATCTTATGATGGCTATGGTTATGTCATGTCTGATTATAGTGTAACTAGTTATTGAGCTCAAGATGATGAAATAGATTATGGACCTACTAGTTGGGTTAATCATAACTATCCCCATATATGGGAGGATAGTAGGGAGCTCAAGAAAGACCTATGTGCACCATGTTCAAACATAGCTTACAAACTGCTTGGGTTACATGACTTGGTATGACTATTGTATGAATCTAGATGGTTGTTCCTCATTGTTTGAACCTCATAGGAGTTCTTCATTTATGTAGATGAACACTTATCTAAATTGTGATCCAATGTTTAAACAAACTATGGATTTATGCATAGTTTATTCGTTCTAATCAATATTTTATTTTCAAACTTTTCATTAACGCGCATTACATACCACTTATATTTCATCATATGTATATCTTATTGGGTAAATGGCCGAATACCCACTGAACTATTTCGATTGTCGAAATGTCCACCTTGAATTATTTTTTTAGCCAATTTAGCCCTCTGATTATTTTAAATGGTCAATTTAGCCTCTGCCGTTAGTTTTCATCCAATTTTCTGTCTAAATGTCACATGTTAGGCACGTGACTCACTGTTCAATTAAAAATTAAATTTTTTTAAGTTTAAAATAATTAAATTGTTAAAACTACAAAACTAGAAAGAGAGAAAAAAAAACAAAAAAACAAAAAAGGAGGAAAAGGAAGGAGCTGAGCTTGACCGAAATTGGGGCTTTTAGGGCTAAGAATCTGACGATTACGAATGGTTGGGGCTAGAGGGAGCTTGGCGGAGAGGACTTTTCCCAGGATTTGTATCTGGGAATCTGATGGGGAAGCTGGGGATATTATTTGTGATATTATCGATAATGTGGAAGCTTCGATGTTCTATAGAAACGACACAGGTTTCTGGCGAGCCCAAGAAGCCTAGCCATACCATATCAAAAGGGCATAAGAACTGCGATTTGATGCTTAGGGCCAGTTTGGCATTGCTGTGCTGTGAAAATAATCGCTGTCAGATTTGCTGTGAGAGAAATCAGCTGTGAGAGAAAGCAGTTTTGCGTTTGGTAAACTTTTTGTTAAAAGTGTTGTTGGTACGGATTCCCATATAATCAAAAAATAATTGCCGCATAATCATTAAACTCAACGCCTCTTCGAAACTGATTCCTGCATAATCAGAAAATGAAAGCACCTTATTAGCTGCTTTCCCTTATAGCTTTCTCCCACAGCAATTTTTAACAATAAGTGATTTTCTCATAGTTTACCAAACGGGTTGGGTTTCACAAATTTTTTAAAAAATCACTTATCCCCCTAAATAAGCAATATCAAACGGGCACTTAATCTTCAACTGGGTATTAGGTACTTCTTCTAATTTTTCGATTTTACAAGTCGTGGAGTGATTTTTTGCTTATGGGTTTTCTTTATCAATGGAGGCTGGTGTTTGATGTTGTGATGTTGTGGTGCTTATGGGTTTTCTTTATCAATGGAAGCATGATTTGATAGTGAGGGATCTTAAGCCCAGTAAATTCAATCCCAAAGAGAAGTTCTGGACCAGGTTTCCTCCGGAAGGATAGAACAAAATGCCGCCCCATTAGAGGTTAATGTAATTAAAATAAGCTTTGCTAAACAAGCCACGACTGTTTGCTTCTTCTTCTTTGATTGTGAGTGTTGTTACTAAAAGAATCTGTCACTTCTCACAGCTTCCATAAAGGCTTCATGAAGTTCTTGTGTCCAACTCATTCTGAGTTTGGTTGGAGGTGCAGTGGACAATGGTTTGGGGCTGGGACGAAAAGATTGAACGGGATGATGTTGAATCTGAGGCGGGTGCACAAGGATATCAGAATATGGGTTGCACTTGAATCGGATTCTTGAAAGAAAGTGAGAGGGAGAGAAGAATAAGAAGGAAAAATGAGAGAGAGAGAGAGAGAGAGAGAGAGAGAGAAGAAAGAAAAGAGAGGGAGGAAGAAGAAGGAAAATGAAAAAGAATAAAAAAAGAGAAAGAGAGAAGAAATCATGATTTTACATCTTCTTTATTATTTTTTGGTATTGTCCTTGTAAAATGACAAACTTACCCTCATAATTAACAGAAAATTGGATGGAAGTCTAAAAACTTGACCATTTAAAATAATCCAAGGGCTAAATTGGCTGAACAAATAATTTATGGTGGACATTTCGACTGTCGAAATAGTTCAGAGGGGTATTCGGCCATTTACCCTATCTTATTATTAGTAAATTTTGAATTTTATTTGTTCAATACATTCATTGATAATGTACATAACATCTATGAAAGTTTTACACCAAAATTATGTGTTTCAATGTCTATATGTCATTTTTGTTGATTTTTTCCTGATACCTAAAACGATAACGATATATCTCCCGAAATATCCGTAAATTAGAGCCCCGATATTATCTGCATGGCTGATATTTTAATCCTTGGTGCCATGTGGTGTGGAGAAGTGAAGTTAGTGGAGAAAAGCCAGGCAGAGGATCCGGATCCATGAATAATACGGCTTTCACATGTCAAATGAATGGATTAGTGGGAGAACTTACCGAATGTATATATATGTCTAGGGTGTAGCATCTCCGTGGCAGGGAATGGATCCGCATGCCTTCAAAATAAGGATGGTGTAGGCCTGAAGGGCTAAAGAAACCAGGTATATGAATGTGTTTCTCTGGTAAACTTGTGCCCTATCGCTCTTCAATATTCCCTGTGGCTGCGGCTGATCATACATCTTCAAAATAAGGTTGATATACTTTAAAACACAAGTGGTCAAATATGACTTTATATGAAAATACATGAATTCATATCAAATTAAATAATTTACAAGCGAATCCCAAAAGATGAACTTCAGAATACTCAAATGACGAGGATTTAGCACAATGTAACAGTTATTTTATTTTCCTTTTTCTTTGAAGTTTGGCTTGGGGATGGGGAGTTAAGCCCAAATTACCCACAAAGCAAAGTAACTTTGTAAGGGTTAATATTACATCAGCAACGAAGCACCAAGGAAAGTTTCGAGAATAGCCTTGCCGTCGTTGGTTTATTTGGTACCCTCACAACAAAAGTCTTCGGTTTGGTACTACCATCCAGCGCATTCTCACACTAAAGAATACATAAAAGTAAGTGGTAATTAGTATAAAAAAATAATTTTAAAAAAAAGGAAAAAAAATATAAAAAGAAGAAGAAAAAGACACTGAACCATCAACCCAAAACCCCCCCAGGCAGCACAATCAAGAACGCTGTGGTCACAGTCCCTGCCTACTTCAACGACTCTCAAAGACAGGCCGGCATCCCCATCCCCACGTTAGCTTGCAAAAAGAGATAGAGAGAGAGAGAGTTTCAATTTTCTGTTTTTTTTAATTTTTAAATCTTAATCTTAAGAAAGTTTGATGGGTGCGGTAAGGGAATATGCAAGGGTTTAAAAGGGGAAACTGTGAGATGAAAGTTAACATAGTTGTTGTAATTCGGGGAATTGGCAAGGGCTAGCTTTCATAGGGAAAGAGGATAGATTGGGAGTTGGGAAGAGATGTGTTCACACAAGTTTTAGGAAAAGGGGGGATGTAGAGATTGAAACAAGAGAGAAGAGAGACTGACGGCTACAACAATGCTTTGAGCTTAGATCGATTAGGCGCAATTTTTTTTGTTCTTAAAACACTTTCATGCCACATGTTTCATACATCTTTCTCTTAAGTAAGATAAAAAAATTTATTTTGCTATATCGACACACGTAATTACTCTTCCACATGACATATCATTATTAACCAGATAGCAAAACATGATATCTCCGCAGCAACTGAGTTTTTCTCCTCCAGCAGGACCTAAGAGAAGCAAACTTTGCTACAAATATAGGCCATGGTCTACCTCGAGAAGCCCTCCAGGCATTGAACTCTGTCTGAGTTTTTCTCCTCAAGCAGGACCTATCAGTATTCACCTCATGTTTGGGTACATGGTCTACCTCGAGAAGCCCTCCAGGCATTGAACTGTGTCTGATATTACTGGTGGGGCTGTGCTTGTGGTTTTGACCTGTAACTCTTGTGTCTTACCCCAAAAAGAAAAAATAAATTCTGTCCGGCAAGGAGTTTCGAACTTATCACCTCCTCTGTCCGGCGAGGAATTTCGAACTTATCACCTCCTTCCTTAAAATCCAGCAGCTTACCACTACTCCTTATATTATTAATGTATAATTGTAAAGAACCCACCGGATTATTAAACGGATCATAACGATTTGACCCCAAAATTACCAAATTATTAATTATGCGATCGTATTTTTTCGAGTCGTGTAACCCTAAGGCTTACCCTAAAATAAAACTGTGAAGTGCCACGTGGTGTGAAGAAGAGAAGTTAGCAGAGAGAGGATCCGGATCCATAACTAATACAGCTTTCACATGTCAAATGAATAGAATATATGTCTATATGTCTAGGGTGTAGCATATATGTCATTTGCGAAGAACTTACCGTATGTATATATATGTCTAGGGTGTAGCATCTCCGTGGCAGGGAATGGATCGGCATGCCTTCAAAATAAGGATGGTGTAGGCCAGAAGGGCTGAAGAAATCAGGCATATGAATGCGTTTATCTGGTAAACTTGTACCCTATCGCTCTTCAATATTCCCTGTGGCTGCGGCTGGGGCGGCGGCTGCGGCTGATCATACATCTTGATTTCGACTGAGGAGGAAGTGATGACCATCTTGTGGTGAAGCAAATCTTGCTTTAGAAAGGTCAAGGAGTAATAATGTTTTGTTCGCTCCCAATTTCTGACATAAGACTGAAATGGGATGGCGAAGATAACAAAAATCAGACAGGAGAGAGAGAAAGGAATCCACCAATACTCGCACGATATGTTGCTGGGATTGTGGAAAATCGACGAGAATATGGCGCCCTGGAAGAAAATATAACCCATCACCAGCAGCATCATAGTTGTTTCCAGATGCGTCACTGTTTTGCCTAGTTTTTCGATCCTCTCATTCAGCTTATTCGATTCACTCTCTTGTTCTTTTGATTGAAAACCCATTTTCAGTTTTCTCAGGCTTTGGTGTTGATGAATTCTTGCCCTCCTGCAGATGAGATACCAGTAATATAACTAATCTTTTCTTCTTTGGGATGATGGTAGTGGTTGGGTTTCGTCGAAAGTGCTAGAATAATTCTTTAATTTTAATGGGTTTGTTGGTATCTGTAGAATTTAAAACTTGTTTCCTTTTTTTTTAATACCACAAGCTTTAGGGTATCATTCAAACGTGTTATTATTTATTGGGGACAGCGTGAGCTGTACGCCTAGAACCCCACAAATCACCGTCCGTTAGGTCATTTTAGCGGCCCAAGTCAAGCTTTTTGTCGGGCAACAATTGTTTGAATCCGGCGGAGCATCTCGTTTGGAGATGTCAAATTTAATTTGTTTCGTTTAGAGCATTCACGGGGTTGGGGGGGCTGGATTTACATCCCTTTTATATTTTTGGGTTGTAAATGTGGTTTTTACTTTAATGAAGAAGATATAAATCTGAAGATGTATAGTTGATTTTGGGGTAAACTGTCGAATTACCTCAACTTGTACATAATTATCAATTTTCTTTTTTTTCAAAAAATTAGGGACTCGAATTAAATTTTATTCTCAATTTCCTGCCATCTAATTTCTCAACGTTTCATTAAATTTTGTTAACTCATTAAAATTATATTTCTTTTATAAAAAAAAAATAAATAAAGAAAAGAGAGCCCCTCCACTCCACACAGCCGTCGTAGCCTCCCCTTTCAAAACCCACCCCCAAACCCAAGATCATCCCCGTCCCCACCATCGCTGCAAATCTCTGAAGGATTAGTTCGATTACCTTTGATTTTCAGTGCTCAGCTGCCCTCAGTTTCCTCTCATGTCAAAAAGTCAGAAGCTTCACAATGTAATCAAAGAAAAAGAGATGAACCCATCACAGCCCCGCCAACAAATTGAAAAGCAGGATCAGACTTCCATGGCGGCTCCGAGATCTTCGAATAGCAACCAAGTTCTGCTATAACTTTCAAACCCTTTCACATAACGTGAGGATGGGTCTTGGTGGAGTGGTGGGTTATGAAGATGGGTTTGGGCGCATGTGAGAGAGAATGTGATATTGGGAGAGAGTAATAAAAAAAGTTGTAAAAATATTTAATAAGGATAAATTTGGAAAAAGAAAAGTTAGCTTGTTTGATGCATTAATGATATTGTTTTTAGGTCTAGTTTGGGATTGCTGTCACTTTTAAAAAAAGTTGCTTCTGCTGTGCTTTGAAAATAATTAGTTGTAAAGTAAAGCAGCTCCATGTTTGGTAAACAATATTTTTAAAGTGCTGTTAGTACAAAAAGCAGTGTAAAAGCGTTTGGTAAATTTTAATATAAAATTGTTATAACTGTGAATAATGACTAAAATAGACATAATGTTAAAAGTTTTATGTACTAATCATGTGGTGGTAGTTGTAGTGATGGAGTGGAGGTGGTGGTAGTGATGAAGGTGGAGTTGGTGGTTGTGGGGATGGCGGTTGTGGAGGTGGTGGTGGTGGTGGTAGTGGCAGCGTGGTCAGCGGCGGACCCAGGAACTGTAATGGAGTTTTCCGGTGATCGGAGGTGCAAGTGCACCTCCTTGCGCCTACACAGGTCCGCCACTGGGTGCTCACCACCTCAGATTGCATATACAACTACAGCTTTTTAATCAGGAGGAGGATGTGGTGGTAGTGATGTTGGTTGTGGAGGTGGTGGTGGATTTGGAGGTTTTGAAGGAGGAGGTGGTGGTGGTGGTGGAGGAGGAGGTGGGGGTGAAGGTGGTGGATGAGGTGGTAGTGGCGGAGGATGAATAGGAGGATGTGGTGGTGGTGGTGGTGGAGGTGGTGGTGGATTTGGAGGTTTTGGAGGAGGTGGTGGTTGTGGTGGTGGTGGTGG